GCAGAGAAAGGAAAACAAAGTGAACAGTTGCTCATTCTTCCAAACCCAAGTTATTTTTCTAGGGAACCTGGCACAATCTGAGGATATATTTTTAAAGTTACAGAGTCAACATAAAAAGGAAGTGTGTTGCTATGCCTACTGTTTATACCCAGTTAATATAGCCACCTGCCCACTTCCGGTTTAAAGAGGAACTGATCGTGCTTCTTTATCTCCTGCAGTTCTCAGAGCCTTGCTAAAACTCGGGAAGAGACTGTCTCTGAGAATGGGTGTGATGACAGAGAAGGACGAGCTGTGGCAATAATACCTTGGAAGATGGTGAGGAGGAACACAGGGTACAGAACTGCCTGCACAGACTTTCCATACCTCTGAGAAAAGAAAGAGCAAAGGCCAATTCAAAGGTCAAAGTCACGGAGCCTGCAGAGCTAGAGATGGAGTCCCGGGCCCCCTCCTGCCCACACGGTGCCCACACAGATTCAAAGTCCAAAAGTACCACAGCCAATGAGGCACCAAGCAGCAGATGGCTGTGTTCAAGGGAACTCGGTGAAAATCCAAATTGAATATGGTCCCCTGAGCCTGCCAAACACATGGCTCCCATAGTGGTAGCACAGCGACAGGCTGGGGGATGGGTCAGATATGAGACAGCTTTTTTGGAACAAGGCCTGGATGGTTACCAACTTCAAGATCTCTGAAGAAATCTCCACCATGCTACAAGTCTCCAGGTGATGGCCTTAGCTCGAACACAGAGTGATTCCAACAACTGTTTCCAGTCTCTTCTGTAACATTAAAGGCAGCCCTTCATTACCAGAGGCATAAGGAAAACATTCAACAGGAAAAAGGAGATCAGACTAAGCAACTAAGCAAAGGGGAAACAAAGATGGACCCAGAAAATACAAAGCCATGTGAGTTGTTGAGGAAAGAAGTCTCCCTTACACTAGGAGAGAATAAAAGCCAGGTCCTTCAAGGATGGAACAAACAACATCGTGGTACATTTGGAGACCAAAAGCACTACTAAAAGACCAATGTTCAATAAAATGACTAAAAAACAAATCTGAAGGAATAACTGAAGTACAAGGAGAGAGAGAGATAAAGACACATTAACTTTTATTCTCAATACAGGCCCATCCAGGTCAAGGATGAAAGGAACACCCTGAAATTCTCTGAAGAGATATAGTAGCTCATGGGTTGGGCCACAAATGTTAGAATGACACTGGGATTCCTGTCAGGTAGGCAGGATTCCGGAAGCAAGAAGAAATGCCTTCAAAATCACGAAGGCCAGGTACTCCTCATGCTTAGCTGAAGCCTCAGTATCCAAGATGTGGATGCAGGGGAAAGAGTGGGAGCAAATGGAAAGTTCCAGAATAACGAATATGCGCCAGACCTAAAGAAAAGTTCAGTCTTCATTGCTGCCACATCACAAGAGTGGGGTATCCAGGAATAGGAAATTGTCAGTTCCCCTGATCTATGCTGTGGACATCATGCAGATAAAGCTCAACATCCTCATAGCTAAGCTGAAAAGAGGTAAGGGTGGGTACATAGACAACGAGAAACACAAACAGAAAGGAAGGCAACTATTAACTTGAAGGAAAACAAAAAGGTCTGTGAGAAAGAAAAGGTAATTAGTCTGGGCAATAACTGCACACTGACAATGATGTCAACAGTGAGCATTGCTTTAACCCTGAGCTGGACTGACAGCATGTTGACAGGCTGACCAGGAATAAAAAATCTAAACCATCACAATGAAATTCAAATGCCATCTGGAAATGAAAAAAAAAAAATGGGCGAAGTAACTTCATAAACTTCGTGCCACTATTTTATTCTGTAAACTATTTCAATGTGTACGGTGAAATAAAGCATAAATATATAAAGTAAGCTAAAGAAAAGTCAAGTAAATGCAGTATGTTTAAATACAGTCAAAGGAGATGATTGTAGCTAATCCAGTAAGGAAATAATATCTACAGTTAGTTATTATTCAGGGGAAAAAATCACTTAAATGGCCATATAGGAGGAGTTTACTGTGTTTTTCTAGGATATAACACAGTCTGCTATGAAATTCAAGCTCACAATTTTAATAATATTCTTTGATTTATAAATTGAAATATGTAGAAATAAATTATTTTTTAAAAATCTTAAGTAAAAACAAAGTAGATTTGTAAAAAGCTTATGGTAAACACAGTTATGTTGGTTTCAAATGATTAAGCAAATGTTTGTCCAAGATAAAGATTCACAATTGTTTGAGTTCTTGTTTTTTCCATTTCATAATTCATTTGCTTGAAAATGTTACCAAGTGACTTTGTATTGAAGGTTTATCTAAAGAGTTTCTATTTTAAGTTGTTTTTTATTTTTCAAAATAATACAATATGTTCTACTTTTTAAAAATCTGGCCAATAAATTTTAATCCTGATTTGTGAATGCACTTGGGTATGGGGAATGTTCATTTAATGGCTTCCTTGTTAGCTTCCACCCAACTATTACCTAGCAACAGCCACCCTGCCAGTTAAAAGCCAGGAGTGAGGCATATAAGACCCCTCAGTACCCCCTCCCCTCTCTCTCTCCTTCTCTCTCCTCCTCTTTCCTCTCCCTCCCCTCCCCTCCTCCTCCCTCTCCTCCCCACTCCTTTGCGCTCTCTCTCCTCCCCTCCTCCCTCTCCTCTCCTCTTCTTTATCTTTCTCTCTCTCCTCCCACATGACCCCAGCCAGCCTTTTCCCCTCCTCCTCTCTCCCTTCTCTCTCTTTCTGTCCTTCTCATCGCACTCTTCTCTCTGCCTCTACCCTTTTTCCAGGTCTCCTACTACTACTAAATAAATTCTCTTTTATACTAAGCCTGTACTAGCGCCAATTTCTCAGGAGGCGGGAGGGGGACACCTTGGCAAGGGCCCACTGAGGTCCTCTCTCCCACTACATCACCATCCCCATTTTATAAAACATTTTATGCTCTGAAATCAAGTGCAAGTTGGATATCTCTCTTATTGGGGAGCTGGGAGCTGCAAATTGATGTCTAAACTATCCACTGTGAGGTGTCAATGATCAGGAAAAATGTTAACACCACTCCTTTTATTTTTATCTTTTTTATTTTTTGAGATTTATAATTACATCATTTTCCCCTTCCTTTCTTCCCTCCAAAATATATCTCCTCCTTCCATATACCCCCTCCTTGTTCTTTTTCAAATTCATGGCCTCTTTGTTCATTAAGTGTTATCACATACATATATGTATGTACATACACACACACACACACACACACACACACACACATATATATATATATATATATATACACACACACACACACTACATATATACAACCTACTCAGTCTGGATAACATTAGTTATATCTTGTAACATTACAGAAAACCAAAACTAATCAAAATGCCAAATTGTGGAGCCCAGTCCCAACTGTAGCCAGAAAACCAGAGAATTTGCTGAGAGACTGTGCTTCCTAAGAATATCACACACTACGCTCATAAAGCCAACAAGATTTAAAAAGACAACAATAGTAGGCATTGGAAAGCAAACTGGGAAACGTTCAGGAGCTCTAGCCCCACACAGAGGACTATTGGCACCTAAGGAATTTTCAGAGAGGAAGAAAGTCTCCCAGGGAAGAGCAAGCAGTTGGTTACCCAATAACAAGCGGCCAGGTTTTGATTTTTTAACGCATCCTTTTATCATCCATTGCTGTAGAACTTGCTGGGTTCTACGGCATCTTCATACAGGAATTTATAGATAAGCCTGAATTCTAGCAGTGTATTCTCAAACATTCTTTTACTGTAGGGATCTCAAAATTAATCTGTGTACATACTACAAGTCTACATAAAGAGGGCCTCCCCTTTGTAGTTAGTGAACTATAAATACCCCAAACAAGAGGAAAAAGGCTCAGGGGAAAAATAGATATCACTCTAAACTAAAAATTAGTTCACCATAGAGACTTAGAAAATTATAGAGGTAAAAATAAACCTTCTAATTTAGGGGGGAAAGTTTGATTTATTAGTAGTAGTATTAATTTTTTTACTTATTCATTTATCTTTTAGAGAAAGAATCTACATAGTACTGGCTGGCCTCCGATTCAAAGAAATCTACCTGCCTCTGCCTTTGCCTCTCTCTCTGCCTCTCTCCCTGACTCCCTGCCCCTCTTCCCCCTGTCTCTGTCTCTGCCTCTCGGCCTCTCTGCCTCCCCAGTGCTGAAATGCCCCCACACTCTGTCTTAACCAATGAAATTTAATCTCCTGTCATCTGTCTTTCTGCTACAGATGAAAACACCAGCCAGCCAAACAAACAGCTATGTCAAAGGATACAAATCTTTGTATTTGTAAAGCCCTGCAAGTCTGACACCTTTAAGACAGACTGTGTGATAAAATGGTCCTAAGCAATGTGTTCAATGTGTTAATCATCAAAGTTTCTGTTTATGAGGTATAAAGTAAAATTCAGAAAGCATTAATTGACGTGTTAAATTAAACACAGAAGCATCCTAAGAGTACTGTATCTCTCATATGAACAAAGCAGTCATTTAGAACAGTATTGCCATTATCCAATATTGTGTGAACATTATTCTCTCAGGGATGTGGAAAGCATTAAAATTTAACAAAAGTATTTTTGTTTGTTGGGTTTTTTGTTATTGCTTTTTTTTAATTTGGTTTGGTTTGGCTTTTTTGGATAAAGAGTGTCATGTGGTTTAGGCTAGTGTCAAACTTACTGTGTAGCTAAAACTGGCCTTGAACTCCAGATCTATCTGCCTCCACCTTCCAACGGATGGAATACATGTGTGCACACCAATACCCAGCTCAAAGGTTAATGAAATACAAAAGGTTATTTCCTCAGCCACACGGGCCACATTCCACTTGCTCAAAAGTATCATGTGGCCAGTGCCTACTCCACTAGACAACTCAGAATATTTCCATCCATGCCAAAAGTTCTACTGACATGCACCACCACTCTGGAATAGGGTTCATTTCTGAACTGATACTCAGAACTTCTTCAGTTAAAAAAGTTGAAGACTTTTATACTTACTAACTGTCACTTTGTCCTTATCTCCCAACATAATGTTGTTTGGCGTGAGATCTCTGTGAACAATTCTCTTCTCCTTGTGTAGGTACCGAAGAGCTAAGCACAGCTTGAAACAAGAATGGAAGCAAATTTCATTGCTGCTGTATATGTAACCAACAGTGCATTTCTAAGGCATTCCAGAATTTTGTTGTATAATGAAAATTTCAATGAAGGCTGGAATGTACCTGTATAAATATTTTCCATAGTCGTTCTTCACTGAAAAGGTGTTGTTTTTCCTTTAAAGAACTAAAGTGTTCTCCAAGTGGGGCACCTTCTATCAACTCCATAACAATATACAACCTGTCATCTACGTGAAAACACAAAGGAGTCACAGAAATGTAAAGTCAGAGTACAGCCCTGGAAAAGCTTCACAAATTAGAACCTGTGCTTTACAAACAGTATGTGGAGCTCAAAACTGAAATCTTAGTGGCAGGATCCACTGAATGCTGGCAGAGCACAAAGCCACCCTTGGGGCAGTCACAGCCCAGCAGTAACCTCCTCTGGCTCTAGACTTTCTCCTGTCTGGCAATTGTAATCATTTTCTGCTTATACCATGGAATGCCTGAAAGGAGCCAAAGACAACAAGCCAACTGTCCCAAGTCACAAGGCCTGCCTCTTAGTACCTCAGATCAAATAAGACATTCAGAAAACTACATTATAAACTGCATTCTGTACAGTGACATAGATTATATCATAGAAATTTACCCAAGGATCACGCTATGACATTGCAATAACACAGACTAAAACACCACCCATGACAGAAACTACTGTTAGGCCCCTCTTGAGTAGAGTGACCTGGAATCTGATTTTATGTTGTGGTTTACAAAGGTTTAGCACTATTTGGATTTTCTTGTTGCTGTTTTTGTACTCTGTATACTCTCTTCTAAAGCCAATTTTAACTATCAATAATAGTATGTGTCTTTTCTGACTGTTGGATGTACACAAAATATACACATACACAATTTTGTCTGCAAAGGACAGACACCTCCCATCCTGCCCACTGACTTCTCCACCAGTCTTACACTGCAGCATGAAAGCAGGCAAACTGTTCTTTCTGTTGCTTTTCACAGGACTGCACACAACAAATAAAGCCTGCCATTTAACATCTCTCTTACAGACATTTATAAATCCCAAGTTTCACCATTCTAAGAAATACGTATTGTTTGCACTATGCTTAGCTGAAGGTTTATTTTTCATTTTCTCACATTATAGTCTTCTTTGTTGTGATTTATAATCTGATAATATTTTACATATTTTAAGTTTCCTCCGATTCATTTTGGAAGCCGTCGGGTTCTTTAAGTGTTTTGTTTTTGTAATAACTTGTACTTACCTCTTCAGTATCAGTCAAAAAATAAATCTTATCGATTTAATTTCAGGAAATGATCCTGATATTAAGAACTAGAAGTTAAGGAGGAAGGAGTCCATCTAAATCATCTAAAGACGGGAAATGGGTAAAACCACAACAAATGGCCCAGCATACAGAACGGTTTTTGTTTAGTTTTGAGATAGGGTCTCTCGCCTGGCTGTGGTGGCGCTCGCCTTTAATCCCAGCACTTGGGAGGCAGAAGCAGGCAGATTTCTGAGTTCAAGGCCAGCCTGGTCTACAGAGTGAGTTCCAAGACAGCCAGGGCTACACAGAGAAACCCTGTCTTGAAAAAACAGAAACAAAAAAAAGTCAGAGATAGGGTCTCTCTATGCAGCCATGCCTGTCCTGGAGCTCACTATGTAAAACAGGCTATCCTTGAACACATAAAGCCTGCCTTTGCCTCTGGAGCACTGGGATTAAAGGCATGCACCATAATGCCTGGCTCAAAAAAGATTTAATATTAGCCCTGGTAAAGCGGCACCCAGTGTGTCATGACAGCTATGTGTCACCATCAGTCTTCTTTTACACGGAAGTACTTCAGGGTTTCTTTCTTTTTTCCTTCCTTCCTTTTTTTTCTGAGACAGGGTTTCTCTCAGTGTTTAGCCCTGGCTATCCTGGAACTCACATTGTTGAACAGACTGACCTCTAACTTAGAGATCCGCCTGCCTCTGCTCTCCAGTGCTGGGATTAAAGGCGTGCGCCACGATGCCCGGCTAATACTTCACAATTTTATGTTACAGATCCTTAAGTTCAATACTTACTTCACTTGTAAACAAGCAACCGAGTTTGACTTTATCTAAGAGTTTTGACTGTGCTCTCCATCCCACAGGCAGGAAACAAGCCATCCAGCCTGTAGGCTCAGCCAGGACTCCGTCGCCACCTGGTGGTACCTACTGAATTTTGTGAGAAAAAAAAAATCGGGAAAGCAGAGTCCAATCCATTTTATTAGAAGTGGAAAATACCACTAGATGCCACACAAGCTGCTGTGAGCTTGCAAAAAATAGAAAGCATCGTGCTTTAGTTCCTTTTTCTCTTGATCATATCCAGTTCTTTTTTTGTACAATAATTTAACTATTTTGGTCTATTCACACTGGGCCTCTATATAATGGGGATCAAAATAGTTTATCTATTTTCAGATCGTCACTTAAAACATTATTTTACTGCCTAAGAAAGCAATGGTCATAAATAACAAAAGTCAAAAGAAAATAGCCGAACGAGTTTGCTTTCAGACAACATAATATAAAAGTACATAAGCAACAAACATATGTTTCCTTACTTAGAAAGCAATTCATACTTACTTTCCAAAAACGTTTTATAATAACGTACAACATTGGGATGATAAAGCTGTAAGAAAACAAATGGTAAACACTTATCAGACTTTTCAAAACACAAACTTTCCCCGTGACTACTTAGATTTTGTACACTGTGGTTATATTTAAGACTGTCAGCTGCCACTTAAGGTTTTCAATGACTTTTTTAAATGTATTGCTTTTAAGTTAAGGAAAAGGGCAGCGTCCTCCATGCCTTTGTGAACCAGGCTAGAAAGTACTGCACTTCCTAACGTGAAGTGGAAAGTTTTAGAACTAAGCAGTTCCTAACCGATTTCCTTAGCATGGTCTGCCCGAATGTTGGGCCTCAGCTACACAGGGAGGAGGACACAGTTTTTAAAAAGAAAAATGATGTAAAATTTTACCAACTATTTATTTACAATGTGGTTTCTAGGTAAAGTGTCTTGCTTCAGAGGAATGGCCATTATGCCTGTAAGTGATTTGTGCCTCTGTGTGTCCCTCTGAGCAGGGCCCACCTAGCTGTTACTCATGAAAACCCAGCAGCCTCAGGGTCAGCAGTAGCAGAGTAGCCAGGATGTGGCTTCCCAAGCAGAGGCTACATCTGTCAGCCTCTCCTACAGCAGGATTGGGTCTGTCCCTCAACTCTTACTTAGAGTGTAAAAGGAGCCCTCGGCCCTGAGAGTGTCCGTTCTGCTTCTCTTCCCACCTGGGATGGGAAGGTACCACCAGGAGATGCATGGAACAGGGAATAACACTGACTTGTGCCATTTGCTAAGCCTGATAGCTCAGAGCCTCTGTGGTGTGCTCATTGTAACCTCTTAACAGACAGGGTCTCCCATTCTAGTCCCATTCCTACAGTTTCTTTATTCCATGGCGTCCTTCTTTTTGACATAGGAGGGAACAACTGTATAATATTCAGTGACCTCAAAGTCTAAGCTGAGTCACCGTCCTTGGCCTCTTCTAGACCCCTTTTCTTAGGAAACGTATTTAAACAAATCAGCACCCAAATCAACTAGCAAGTGACCCCAGCTTTAAGCCATATGGGAGGAAGGCTAACAAACAGAACCACATTCTGATTGTAGCTCATAAGCCAGGGTACATCCAGCTTTGGCACCTAATCAAAATGTTAGATGGACTCAGATCAAAGTCACATTCTAAGCTTGTGCTGTCGGTTGGGACAGAATGAGTTTGTGGAAGGGTAGGATGGCTTCTTATGGTCTAATCCATTAATGTTTAATACAAGTCAACAGCAATGCCATTAGTGATGACTTTCTATTTAACTGAATGATGTCAAACTGTAGGTTCCAATGAATAAAGATCACATTTGTACTGTTCTTTATGCTCTGGTCCAGACACCAAGCAAACATGACTGCAGAGCGCAGTGGGCTGGCAGCTTCCTAGGACTTAAAAACAGAAATGCACAAATAAGGAGAGCTGGAAAAGGAACCAGCATGTTCTTGGATCACAAAAAGAATTCCTATTTCTCTTCTGTGTTCCTTTTTCTCCTCAAATAATCCTTCATAATAACAGCTAATTGAGCTATTATATCACACTAGCATATACTGCTCATGATAATAAAAATAACCCAGAGGGTAGTGAGGTACACCTTTAATCCCAGCATTTTGGACAGGAAGCCAGAAGGAAAGGAGCTCAAGGTCACTCTCCACTGCAGAGCAGGCTTGAAACCAGCTGAGCCTACAAAAGCCTGGTCTATAGAAGAAAAAGAAAAAGGAACCTACATTTTAGATTTCATAAGCCAGACTTGGGAGGTGTCAGCGGGTTGCCTGAAACTGGAGGGTGGTCTTTCTCAAATTCCCAGCACTGAAGTAAGGGTGTCTTTCTCCTGCTCCTGTGTAGTGACTTGGTAGCTAAGCATACATGGTGTGTTCTGGCTTGTAAGCTCAACTGTTTTGCATCCAAGGCCCTGCTATAAACTCCTAAAAGAGTTTCCATGACTCAATAACAAGCTTTAGGAAAAACACTGGTAAAAATATCACTGCACCAATGTCCAGTATTTCACACTGAACTGGTTTATAAACAGCATGTACAGGAACAGCAGCAGAGCTCAGCTTCAATGACATTTATGTCGGAGACATCTCAGGAATAAGACAAATATTTACCTGCTCCTTAATTATTGTTAATTCAGAAACAATGTTCTTCACACTGCTGTCCCGGTCCTTCTTATCCTTTCCAAATGCTGGGTTATGCAAATTGACCTCCTTCATTGCTAAGAGATTTTGACCACTACGCTTTCTAACCTACAATAAGGAAAATAGTTAATTAAATGCTCTGAGAGTTAAGGGTTAGATGAAGACAGATGAGCTAGAATAACAAAATCGCATGGTTAATTAAGCCATAGCATGAGACTGTGGCTGCATTTATACTAAGCTGATCAAGCTTAAACCTGTTATCTTCTGCTCTGGTCCCTGCTGCAGTGTTCAGTAGGCTTTCCCTGTGTAGGTGTAAGTTTATAAACTATGTCATGCACTGGGACAAGCTATTTTGATTAATTTCCTCGGATGGGGAAAGATATCCTGTCTTAGTCAGTGACCAGGTATTAGAGCTGAGAGCCAAAGCAACACCCACATAATTACCACCCTGTGTCAGACACAACCAGCCACTCTCATCTCTATCTCTACTTCTTCACTGGTTTTCAATGACAAAGATGATTGTGGACATCTAGAGTGTAACTTCAAGTTTGTTTTGAAACATGAGAACTATCTCCCAAGGCAGACTCACCTTATAAACACAGCCAAAAGCTCCACTTCCAAGGTGGTCCAACACAGCATAGTCACCTATGTACTTCAACGGCGCTTTCTTCTGATTGATGCTTTCAATATTCTCAGCAATTTGCTTCAGCTCATCTTCCTAATCAAGTTATAAAAGGGAAATTGGTTGCTATTATCCTGACTCCAGAGGAACCTGGCCAAATATATAAAACTTGAGACTTACCAATAGTAAATTCAACTGTGATACCAAGTCTGCATAAGCCCCGATATCACGAACATAATGTCCTATGTCAATGAAGGTCTCAAACAGGTCGGTGGGGAAAAGTCTACAGGGAAACACACACACACTTAAAGTGGAGCTGGAGAACAGTGAGCCAATGCTTCCCTTCTGGATGCAGCTGGCTCACCAACTAACCCTACCAACAAACCTAACTTCATTAGGTCATCAGCAGAATAAGAAGCAATATGCTCTGGCATATCATGCAAATCTGCACTACAGCTCTAGTCCCTGCAGAGTAAGCCATGTTCTAAAGATCCACTGAACAGCACTGCACTGAGGTTACCTGCACTGCATGTCACACTTAGAACTAGGGAGGAGTGGACCTTACATTGTTTGTTTCTATGGCAATAAAAGACAATATAACTGAAACAGATTATACCAAGGCCTCATCTGTAATTCATTTGGGGGTTATAGACAATAATCATTTTAAGAAAGGATGTTTGTTGGACTTTTACTAAGTACCTAGCACTTATATCAAGTCATTTGTTACAGTTCTAAACTTAGTTCTAGGATTTAAATATCCTTTTAATTTTTAAATGTTTTATGAGAATAAAATACTGGTAACTGAAAAAATGGAGAGAAGTACGCATTTACAAAGTTTTGGCTTCAGTGGCCTCTTAAAATGTTTGAATTCATTGAAATGGATGATTTGGGGCCATAAAATGAAGGTTTATAATTATCTTTTTCCTTAAATTCAAATATCATAGGAAAATGAAGCAATAATATAATTTACACCTTCTCAACAAAGGATTTGTTATAACATCCAGACTTCTCTCACCAATAAAATCTGGCAAAGTTGTGGACCTAGATTTTGTTCAAAGGGTGTGCATCCCCATATGTGTAACAAACATGTCTGCTTCCTATGGCCTGCATTTCCACCAGACCTACCAACTCACCTCTAGCCCAGCCTATCAGGGGCACCTAAGCAAACTCTTGGTTGGTAAGAGGAAATGATCAGACTAACTTTGGAATTTCTGAATAGTTTAGAAAAAGGTAAGTATCTTGATTCTATATATTCAGGATGTTAATATCTTTAATTAAAACCAGAGCCTAAGCAGTTACATGGCCTGTGAGGAGTTGTACAGTGGTCACATGTGAGGTGGCTGTGGAAACTGAGAGGTCGGGAAAGGCGTGGCTTGCATAGAATCATTCCCTTCCCATGGCCCCTGTGGAAGCAGGCTGGCCTAAAAGGAGCCTCAGTTTAACCATCTTCCATGTCGCCCCAAACTCATACCTTTTAAAGAGTGGCCTGTTCCTTTCCATACTGAAGAGAAACCTCAGGGTTCTGAAAGCATAACACTAGGAAAGGAAAGAGAACATGACTCTTAAAGAGTGGTGCAACAGAGTGAGACATTTCCAGTCCAGAATCACCAGGAAGTAAACATTACAGACGCTTCCCTGTGAGAAGCTGACCTCAGGTGCAGGCCAGACTCATAAGCTACCACCAACCCTGGGATCCCTCTCCTGCCTACAGGGTTGATACTGCAACACTGTGTCATGCTGGAGATGTGGCCCTGCTTACTTCTCACCAGCTGTTAATCCCTTTCTAAAAAGTACAAAATGACCAGAGACATAAGAAATAACCTTCTTCTGCTAGGGAAGCCAACCACCAAAGATTTGCAGGAACTCAAGACTCACTCTCTGCTAGATGCTATGAACACCTCACTATTCATACAGCTTCTGTGAGTGAGTAGCCACTAGGAGCCAAGGCATATAAAAACAGTAACAGGCATGCTGGATGCAAACCTGACAGACTGGTCTCCAGGATAACATTCACACTGACCTTCAAAGCTGTCTTTCTCCCTTTTGTGACTTAGTAAGAATAATGACCTACAGCTCCACAAAAGTGAATTCTGTCATTCTGGTGTCACTGAGAAGACAGTCCTTAATGCTCACTCCTCAGTAAAGCATCAAGGAGACGTGTGTGTGTGTGTCTGTGTGTCTGTGTGTGTGTGTGCCTACTTTGGGCCTTTGACACTCTGTCCAAGACACACACCCAAGCGGCTTAACATGCTACCTGTGCCCAAGTACTCTCTAAATTTCCCATCTCTACCTTGCTGATAGCACTCCCATGGAGATCTCTGCCGCCCTAGAGCAGCTGTGCCCAGTGGTTCCTCATCACCTTTTAAACCCCTTCTCATCCAGCAAAGTCCAGTGCCTGGGCTTTCCTTTTGAACCACAAAATGTTATTGACTATGGTTCATGTTTAAAGTTGACAACCATTTAACCATTTTTCCATTGTTGTTATATTCTGGTGTATAAGGGAAATGTTCTTCAAAGTACAACCAACTAATGACCAAAGAAGCCACTGAATAAGCTACTTCAGTCTGTCTCTCTCTCTCTCTCTCTCTCTCTCTCTCTCTCTCTCTCTCTCTCT